AGACGGTATCTATCCTCTTATGCATGTATACATATAAAACAGTTTGTCCTGACTGACTGATTAGTGATCAACGCACAGCCCAAACGGTAAAAGCTAGGAAGCTGAAATTTGGACTCAAGTATCCTTTCATAGTCTAGGTGCCCACTAATTTTGGAAAATTCGAGCTCCAATGGGCCTCCATTGTTTGTTTGAAAAATCCTAATTTTTCTATCGATCGACATAAAACTTGGTTTCTAAAATGAATAAAAGAATACAAAGAAAGTTGCATACTTGGTTTTTTAAATATTTATATAATATTTATATACAAGTATCTTGGAGACTTAATTATTGGGGTTTTTTTGGGGCACAAGAGGAAACCGCGTCAACAGCCCACAGCCCAAACAGTAAGAGCTAGAACACATCCTTGTACAGGTACACATCTATGAATGTATATATGTTCATTCGTCTTGCACTGACAGAGTAAGAAATGTTAATTAATTAAAAATTATTTAACATTGTTAAAAGCAATTTTTTCTTTGTTTAGTACATTTGGCATTAGGGTTTTCATTAGTAACTTTATGCAGCAACAACAAATTAAAAAGAACGCAAATATCAAATAGTTGGGGACATCATATACACACACTCACACACAGAACAATCAACAGTTCGTGTCTATGTGTGCGGTTCTCTACGTACGGTTGAAAAAGTAAAGAGAAACATGCATGCATATGTACATACATATGTATGTATGTATGCCTGTGTATGTACATATATAGCATGTATGTACATTCGTATGGACAATCGAGCACTGTTGTTTGATTGTAATAAATAATGTTCTATGGTTTTAAATCAAATTTTTAAAACTAAAACAAGTAAAAAAGCTAAGGTCGGGTGTCCCGACTTTGAAATACTCTGTACATATGCTTACAATAATTAAAACAAGATAGAACGCTACAGTCGAGCAAGCCCGACAGTAAAATAGCCTGTACTCTCCACAAAAAAGAAAAATTTAAAAAAAAATTTAAAAAAAAATTTAAAAAAGATTAAAAAAAAATAAATAAATTTAAAAAAAAATGAATGAATGAATGAATTAATTAAATTAGAATACATGTTTATGTTCTATGCGTGTTTATATGCGTGTATGTATGCAGCACAAAGTTGAACCAAAGCAGCAACAACAACAACAGCTGCGGGCAGCGCTGCCGACAGAGCTGCAGGCAGCGCATTTTACTTATGGCTATAACTTTCTTCAGAATTGACCTATCATGATGAAATTTATTAAGATCAATAAGAATAAATCATATACAAACATACATATGTACATCTGCCAGCAACGTGAAGAAGAATATGCGTAGGTCCGCTTTCGGTTTTTGCTTTACTATCGCTTACGCAGTCGTTGCCTAGCGACGGCAACTGTAAACTTTTGACATTTTGCCTTTGAAATTAACAGGCGTAAATGATCAAAACAAAAGAAGAAGCGCGTGACAATGACTTGCAGTTAGCGGGAGCTGAGAAATGTAACAGGCAGAAGGAGGCGTGGCAGACCCCACAAAATATATATGTTATTGATCAGCATGACGAGACGAGTCGATCTAGCCCTGTCTGTCTGTCTGTCCGTCTGTCCGACTGTCCGTCTGTCTGTCTGTCCGTCCGTATGAACACCTGGATCTCAGAGACTATAAGAGATAGAGACACCAAATTTTGCACAAAGATCCTTATGTGTGTATTCTATACGAGTTTGTTTTATTTTTTGATTCCCCCCCCCCCCCCCCCCCACTTCACCACTATGTGGGTTTTCCCGATTTTCCATTCGTATAATCGCCTATATCTCGGAGACTATAAGACCTAGGAACACCAAATTTTAGTCCAAGATGCCTTGTGTGAATACGTAGAAATTGTATATTTTGGATTTTCCCTTTGCTGCTGCTTTGCAGCGCTGCTCAAGCGCTGCCCGCGGCTGTTGTTGATGTTGCTGTTTGGTTGACTGCGAAAATGCTTACACAGACACGAATTGATGCGCATAGGCATACATACACTCACACAGACGCAATAGCTATGTAAATGTACAATTATACACCCTTTACGTGAGTTCGAATACCGAGAAAGGTAAAATCGATCATTGCATTTTTTTTTATTTTCTTAATTTTTTTTATTTTCTATAATTATTGTAAACATATGTACAGAGTATTTCAAAGTCGGGACACCCGACTTTAGCTTTTTTACTTGTTTTTATTTATTTAATTGACAAATAACTGTCAATGTTAAACATAAAGAAAAGAAATAACAATCTAGATAATATACATTCAAATATTGGAAAAGAACATAAAAAATAAAAATTTAAATTAAATAGAATTACAAACGATTTAAAGAGATTCAGACCGGATCAGAAAATTAAGTAAGCAAGATTTAATCGAACTATCCGAACTCTCATGGCCAAAGAGATGACTCAAATTATTGTAGTTGCTACACAGAACCCGAAACGGACTGCGCAAAGCATAGTTGCTTGTACAGCGATTTAGGCTTATGGGAACAAAAAATCTTGAAGGTCTTTGTGGTACCGTAAAGTTAATTTGGCTGACAAGCACCGAAGACTCGATGTCGCCGTTAATTAATTTATGTGTTTTTATACACCTAATTAAATCCGGCGGCTAGCAAGTGATGGAAGACCTAACAATTGTAGCCTGTGAAAATATGATGGTAGAGGGTCAGTTCTACTCCATCCAAGACCACGTAAGGCAAACAAAAGAAATTGCTTTTGAACAGATTCAATGCGATTTTTATGTATTTCATATTGCGGGCACCAGACGGTACAACAATATTCTAAGGTAGGCCGCACCAAAGCCGTATAAAAAATTAGTGTTGTGTAGGGGTCATCAAATTCCTTTGCTCAACGTTTAATAAAGCCTAGAGTTCCCTTTGCTTTATTAACAACAGATTCCGCGAATACCACAATTGGAAGGCATTGAGATCAAGCTGCAAATTGTCATGACACTGAACATCGTTATATGAGAGGCAAAGTTTTACGTCGTCAGCATACATTAGTACACGAGAGTAAGTTAGGGATGATGGCAGATCATTTATAAAAAGAGTAAATAGTAGAGGACCTAAATGACTACCCTGTGGGACCCCCGAAGTTACTTTAATAGCTTTTGACAGTACGCCGTTAAAAATTACACGTTGTGTTCTGCCAAACAAATAACTATATATCCATACGATAAGATTTTTGGGAAATCCCAAAAGACCCAGCTTATGGATCAATAGCTCATGGTTGACAGAATCAAAAGCTTTGCTAAAGTCAGTGTATAGTACATCCGTCTGGCTCTTAGCTAAAAACCCATTCATAACATGTTATTATTTAAATTTTCTGTTAATTGAATTCAAACTTCGATGGAATTATTGATTGTATCGACGGATTCAACTATCGATAGTTTTGATGCTCTATCACATAGAGCATCCGACACATGCCCATCTCTAGCATCTCAGCTGATCGCATATTTACAGCGACTTACCGTTTTAGTGTTAGCTAACAACGCTACAAATGTATTCTGAACAAATCTAAGAGTCATTTACCGCTAAGCCTATTTTGTGAGTGTATTCATGCGATTTGCAAAAGCAGAAACACACCTTTTACATTCGCAACAATCATATTTGGAATTGAAGACACACATTAGTATTGAATTAAAAAATTTAATACATATATATGTATGTATGTATATGGGCGGATAACGCCTGCATGAAAAATTTAAATATATGTACATATCAGCGTTACCGAATGCTCCAATTTTGGCGGGACGTCCCGATTTATAAATCAAAATTAAATGTCCAGCGTCGGACTTTTCGGGGATAACTCGACCGTGCGTACAACGTGCTGAGGAAGCACACAGTTAAGGGACGACTGGCAGTCCGTCCGGTGCGTAACGAATATACATATGTACATATGCACGTACTTATACATAGTACTTATTGTACTATATTTGCTATCTCGAAAATGAACTCTTTAAAAAACTTTAGAGAGCGTCGAAAGAAGAATATCATATAGTAAATAAACTTTTAATTATAAGCACACTTTACTTAGCCCAGCAAAGACGGGCAAGACCTGCTAGTACATACATATAAGTGTATGTATTCAATGGTACAGTTGAACACTTAACCATATGTGTTTTTTGAATATGAATGTTGTGAGTGTAAACGGCGTGTTTCTGATTTTGTAAATCGCAAGAATATATTCACGGAATAACCTTAACGCTTAATGTCTGCCAGAATTCTTCAGAATACATTTGTAGCGTTGTTAGCTGCCGCAACCGTTTAAGACAAACGGTAAATCGCTTGTAAATATGCGATCAGCTGAGATGCTAGAGTTGGGCATGTCGGCTTTTTTCGGCCCGTCACAGCACGATCAGTAATTGGCTGTAAAAATACTCGAACCCATATGCACGGTGAATGGATACACAAATTTTTCCTATTAAATCGAATAATTAGAAGAATGTCGATATTGAATTTATGATTGCATACATGTTTATAGGGTAGTCAAATTTTAAGGATATATTTACTTAATATTACTTTTTCGTAAAATATTAATTTATTTTATGCAAATTTGGATAACATTAACATGCTATTTTTTGGATATGCGCTCCAACTCCCTTGTTATTTTCCAAAATAAAATACATATACATATGTACATAACACAATGTTTATATTCTTTACATGAAATGTACAAGAGTATATTAGGTTTGGCAGACCCCACAAAGTATATATATTCTTGATCAGCATGACGAGACGATTCGATCTAGCCTTGTCTGTCTGTCCGTATGAACAGACTATAAGAGCAACAGACAGCAAATTTTGCACAAAGATGCCCTATGTGTGTACGCTGTGCAAGTTTGTTTTATTTTTTCTTCTGCCGGTTATATACATTTGCACAAAACTAGTATAGCCTTTTACCCTTTGGGTACTGGCTATAAAAACAAAGAAATAATCAACATAATGTTTGGTTCAATCGGAGATATTTTCTTTAAACTTACAATTAACATGAACGTCAAAGCGTTTGCTGACTGAGGGGGGTATTCCATTTGAAGCAATGCACAAGTAGCCTCCCATGTCAGTCCTTTGAATATTTGTTAGTGCCAGACGCTCACCCTCCACAGATTTTACCGCTGGAATAGGAAACAGAAATATTTTATTCGCTATAAATAATTGTACCTTTTTGTATTGTACAAAAAAATATAATAGATGATGTGTATTTGAACAATAATTTATGCTTTAATAGTACGTACCTTGTTTTTCTCTGGACTCGGATCGAAGTATAATGTCCTTCCCACCTTCACGTCGCCACTGCACGGTTGGTTTTGGGACACCAGTAGCATTGCAGATAAGTATAATACCACCACCCTCAGTGCTTACTCCTTCCTCAGCGTTCTGATCAGGTTGGTTTAAAATATCTGGTGGCACTACAACATTTAAAAAACCCGACTGCAAAAGACAATGTTAAGAATTTTGTTCAACAGTATTCTAATGCAACGCACCATCAGTGCACAGCGCAGCATAATAACAACAAAAACTAAGGTCTGCGAAATAAGTCACCTTATCATGCTCATAACGTAATGCCACAGATTTACCATTTATGTTTTCCACTTCATTTTTTGCATAGTTTGATTTCATCTAATTCTCTTGCTTAAAACAGTAAGGAGAAGCAGAAATCCGTTATTACTACCGTTATTTCTATCGAAAATTGCTGCTGCCTCTCTTTCCACAACGAAATAATTGAGCTGATCAAATCAGTTTTTGTCATTGTACCAGTGCATTCAAGGGCCATTTTCATCAAAATTTTGGGATTTGTAATTAAAAAAATTAAATAAGTGAGTTTTGACTTTAATCCAGGCTTAGAATATTAGATCAGATTATAATTAACCATAATTTTAGTAGAAATGCATCAAAGCCGTTACCTATCTGATAAAGAAAGAGCTAAAATATTAGCATATCGAGAAACTGGAATGCCCTTACGTGAAATTGCTTCCAAAATACAAAGGAGCTTTTTTACTATACAAAAGTTTTTGAAAGACCCCGAACACCACGGAAAAAAGCCACGCTCCGGTCGCCCGCCATTGGTACAAAATCGCGATAAGAGGAGAATAAAATCGTTAGCACTCAAAGAAAACCTGAGCGCAGGCGAAATTTGTCAGGAACTGGATCTCTCAGTGTCAAAACGTCGCGTGCAACAAATTTTACGAGCCGATCAATTCATTTCATATGAAAAAAAAACCGTCAAATGTGAACTACTTCCTCGGCACAAAGTTGCCCGCATGTACTTTGCAGAGATGCATAAGTTTTGGGACCTGGAGTGGAAAAATATTATTTTCAGTGATGAAAAAAAATTTAATTTAGATGGACCAGATGGGTATCAATATTATTATCGTGACCTCAGGACCCCCAAACAAATGAAAGTGTCGCGCAATTTTCAAGGAGGATCGCTAATGGTGTGGGCTGCATTTTGCTGTGCTGGAAAGAGTCCTATATGCTTTGTCTCACATAAAATGAACTCCGAAAACTATGTAGAGCTATTGGACGAAAACCTGATTCATTTTGGAGAAGAAATGTGTGGAGATTATTGGACATTCCAGCAGGACAATGCTCCAATCCATGTCTCAAAACGCACAAAACAATTTTTTGAGGATAAAAAAATACCACTTTTGGTGTGGCCTGCAAAAAGTCCAGATCTTAATCCCATAGAGAACCTTTGGGGAATCCTTTCCAGTAAGGTTTACATGCATGGCAGACAATTTAGATCCTTGAAAGAATTAAAAGAAGCAATCGTAACAGAGTGGGCCAAATTGGACGGATCACTTCTTCAAAACTTGGTTAGTTCAATGCCAGATCGCATGTTAAGAGTAATTAATAGTAATGGAGGACATATCTAAACAATTTGCCGCTAAAAACACAAGTAAATCGAGATATAAATATAGTTTTTTGAATTTGATCAGTTCAATTATTTCGTTCGGAAAAATTTTCATTTAATTTTTAAAAAAGGTTCTTATAATTTCTTAAATATTACTATACTGAATTTAAACTGTCATTTTATAAAGTTTAAGGAAAAATTACAATCATTTTAAAATATCGAAGATTTTTGTTTTAATTAAGAAAAATATGTTGATAAGGTGACTTATTTCGCAGGCCTTATATTACAATGTTGCCAACCCTTAGTTCGTAAGCATGTAGTGCCAAAAATTGTGCTTGAGTTAGACCAATGGAAGGGGGAATGGTTGGCAGTAATCCGTTTGGGCTGTTTGGGCATATACTCACCTGACTTTTCATGGGATCCGTATTTACTTGGCACATGTAGCTGCCGGAGTCATTTAGCTGGACGTGGGATATGTGAAGTTTCCAGGTGTTGTGACCGTTGTGTGTCACTGATAATCTTGGATTTAGTGAGACCATATGGGTGTGTATGCCGAGTATTGCTTTTGAATCGGACTTAATCCAAGCCACCTGCAAACAAAAAAGTATCGAAAAATATGACCAATGATTACAGTATATACTATATATGCATACTCGCTGGTGACTAAGGGATTTGAAGTCATAAATTTTATCCTTGCATGTGTGTATACTGGATAATTTGTACATGTTGGTATGTGAATAGTTAGACCAGGCGCAATATGATTTTGTGGGTTATTGTCATAAAGGTCGAAAGTAACTGCCAAATAATGTACATAAACAATGTACATATTTGTTAAGGAGTTTATTTCCCCCTTTTATTAGACTTTGACCATCGATGCGATAGGGCTGTGCGTTCAAGTAAATGCTTATACTCTGTACATGAAATGTACAAGAGTTTATTAGGTTTGCGGGAGGGGAAAAATGTAACAGACAGAAGGAGGCGTGGGGGACACCACAAAGTATACATATTCTTGATCAACATGACAAGGCGAGTCGATCTATGCCTGTCTGTCCGTCTGTCCGTATGAACACCTAGATCTCAGAGACTATAAGAGATAGATACAACAAATATTGCACAAAGATGCCTTATGTGTGTACGCTATACGAGCTTGTTTTATTTCTTTTCGCACTCAATATAGCCAAAGAACTTTCAACTTAATATTCCTGGTATTACATTCCACCTACGGTTCATAAAATTTTAATTCACGGATGCTATTACTGAAAATGCTATCGTGTGGATTGGGGAGTTGACAGAGAAAGCTGCTCCTGATCAGGGTGACAAGCCGAGTCGATATAGCCATGTCCGCCTGTCCGTCCGCCTGTATTAGCGCAATTCCAATTTAGTGCGTGTTTCTGACTGTTGACTCAATAAAGCACGAAAAGATACGAAAGTGAAAATTCGATAGAAATAAAAACAACGCGAGCAAAATATAATTAAAAACAAGTAAAAAAGCTAAAGTCGGGTGTACCGAGCAGCGCTGCACCAGCAAATATATTTATGGCTATAACTTCATGTTAAATCGGTCTATTATAGTGAAACTTGGCATACGGACACATAATAACTATTATACATAATAATAACTATAGAGAAAATCGCGACTTGCGAAGAAGGGGGGGAGGGAGGGAAATTCCAAAATATACATTATCTACGTATTCACACAAGGCATCTGTGACTAACATTTGGGGTCCCTAGCTCTTATAGTCTCTGAGATATAGGCGATTATACGAACGGCGTTACGGGAAAACCCCCATAGAGGGGAAGTGGGAAGGAAAATCAAGGAAAATCGCGCAAACCTTACATTTCATGTACACAGTATAATTAGGAAATACTCTAATATTTTTTCCAGTTTTTTGCACAAAGTCTATCTTAAAACATTGTGTTATGTACATACAAGTATATGTTTTTTATTATCCTTAAAATTGGACTACCCTATACCCATGTATACAATCATAAATTAAATATCGGCATTCTGCTAATTATTCGACTTACAAAAAAAAAATTGTGTATCCACATTCACCGTGCATATGGATTCGAGTATTTTTACAGCCAATTACTGATCGTGCTGTGACGGGCCGAAAAAAGCCGACATGTCCAACTCTAGCATCTCAGCTGATCGCACATTTACAAGCGATTTACCGTTTGTGTTAAACGGTTGCGGCAGCTAACAACGCTACAAATGTATTCTGAAGAATTCTGGCAGACATTAAGCGTTAAGGTTATTCCGTGAATATATTCTTGCGATTTACAAAATCAGAAACACGACTTTTACACTCACAACATTCATATTCAAACAAGAGAGAACGCTACAGTCGAGCAAGCCCGACAGTAAAATACCCTGTACTCTCCACAAAAGGGAAAAATTAAAAAAAAAATAAAAAGAAAATTAAATTATATAAAAAAATAAATGAATGAATTAATTAAAATTAATTAATTAAATTAAATTAGAATACATGTTTATGTTCAGTTTTAACAGCATACATTTACATCACGTACCTATGCGTGTTTATATGCGTGTATGTATGCAGCACAAAGTTGAACCAAAGCAGCTGCAGGCAGCGCATGAGCAGAAATTTTACTTATGGCTATAACTTTCTTCAGAATTGACCTATCATGATGAAATTTGGCACACGGACACATTAGTACTAACTGGATGTACCTACCAAAATTGATTTCAAAATTTCGAGAATTACGGAAGTTATAAGAAAAAACACGAATTGCGGGGGAGTGGGGGGGTATCAGAAAAAATAAACAAACTCGATCTGCCTAGCGCTTATAGAAACCTTGATACCAATTTTGGTTATCCTAGCTCTTGTACTTACTGAGATCATTGCGCTCATACAGACAGACGGACAGACGGTCAGACGGACAGACAGACAGACGGACATGGCTATATCGACTCGTCTTGTCATCCTGATCGAAAATATATATACTTTGTGGGGTCTGCCACTCCTCTTTCTGCCTGTTACATACATTCGCACAAAACTAGTATACCCTTTCAACCTTTGGGTACAGGGTATAAAAACACATGGTTAAGTGTTCAACTGTACAATTGAATATATACACTTATATGTATGTATATGTTTGTACATGCATAAGGGGATAGATAGCCCATGCATAAAAAATAAAATGTGCACATGTACTTGTACATATCAGAGTTGCCAGACGTCCCGGTTTCTAAAATCAATCAAATAATACAAATAAAACTGCATACTCGTTTTTTAAAGTGGTCTTGGAGACCGAATTATTGGGGTTTTAATATTTCTTCCCATTTTTATACTCTGTACATAAAATGTACAAGAGTATATTAGGTTTGCGTGGCAGACCCCAAAAAGTATGTATATACTTGTATATTCTTGATCAGCGCAACGATATCAGAAAGTACAAGAGCTAGACTAACCGAACTTGGTATCGAGGTTCCCCTAAGCCCTAGGCACGTCAAGTTTATTATACCCTGCACCCGTAGGGTAAAAAGGGTATATTAGGTTTGTGCAAAGTATGTAACATGCAGAAGGAAGCATCTCCGACCCCATAAAGTATATATATTCTGAATCAGCATGACGAGAGAAATCGATCTAGACATGTCCGTCCGTCCGTCTGTCCGTCTGGATGAACGCAAGGATCTCAGAAACTATAAAAGCTGGTGTTCACAAAAGTGAACAAGAGCTCAGAAGTTAGCATAGGGAGCACAAGCAGTAGGTAGGCTAAACAACAAATCTCGGTCTAAGAATAGCCGCATGCAGCAGTGGTACAGACCAACGCATAGTAGATAACAGAAAATGCATAGGCAAATAGGACCGCGACAGCGTTTAAGGGTGAGTGCACACTGCGTTCAAGAAAGGCTTGGAATATACATATGGAGGGGAAATCCACTTGATACCGTTAGGATAGAATAAGACGAAAAATGTAAAATTAGAGTAAGTACAATGTTTAGAAAATAAGAAAGAGTAAAATATTGAATTATTAGTACATAAGGAAAAACCTAGTAAATAAGACAAAAATTGTATAAATACTGAAGGAATTTCAGAAATAAAATCAGAATGAAATTGGAAATTTAAGCATTGGTTTGTTTCCTTTTTTGTTCTCTCAGAGACGCTCTACACGGGATAAAGTGTAGCCTCTGATAGTGAATAGCTGTATAGCAAGGAACTATTTACAGCTGGAACAGCCAAAATTGGTATCCAGATTCTCCTAGATCCGAGAAAGGACGAGTTTATTTTTTTTTTTTTTTTTTGAATTTCCCGCTGTGCTGTTGAGCGAGACAACGCACTTCCACTTTGCGCATATTGTTTAAAGGCTCAACTATTTGAGTTGGTGGCCTCTTAAATTCGTGTATATATTAATTCGGTTTATAGACAAACATAATTGGCTCTGCGCGGCAAAATATTCATTTCATTACATTTGAAAGGAAATCGTTCTTGTTTTAATTGTCGTGTCTGACGCCCGCTTCAGACAAAACCCATAGACTAGAAAAGGCTCCCGAAAAAGCTCGGTGCATCACAATTTTGGTGAACACCCGACTGTGGCTCAAAACGATATATATTTGGTGTACTAACTAAGCACTAAGTGTGTGCAAAGTTAGTGTGCCTACATACATACCGCTGAAGCATCAGTACACGTATGTGTGTACATAATTGACTGTACAAGGCGCATAGTTTTTGAACATATAAACCGCAAGCAAGCGCCGTTGCTTTGTGCGGTCATTCGCCTTTGCTTATATGCCGGTGTTTGGCGCGAGTGACAATTTTCGGTTGTTGTTGCTGCCGTTGCCAAACCGAGACTTGTGTTTTCGTTGTGCATTTCATTTCATTCGTATTAGAGTACTGCACTAATAATGAATGGTGATGATTCATCTGCACTGCCGTGTGAGCGTCAGATTGAACGTGGACCCACTGCCGTGGCTGTGCCTAGAAATCGGGTAGTATTTTTCAAGCACAAATGTGAATATCTTTGTGAAAGTCTCAAGGTAATGGAATGCGAATTTTAAAGATGACAAAATTGGTTTGTTGAGAGAAGATGAGTTGCTCTATCTGGTAAAACTGCTCGAGGATAAGAAGATTAATTTTAACCGCGCGCTCAGTAGTTTGGAATTCGACTGTGGTGACGCTAGCTTCATCCTGCATTAGGAGTTTGGCAAAAAAAAAAATGAAAAAAAAAATAGAGTTACGGAAGCGCCATTTTAAAGCACCCTCTTCGTCAACTATGCGGAATGACTTGACTACAGAGACTCAAACTATGGTGGTCCAAAATCGGTCTCGATTGCCCGAGCTAAAGTTGCCTTCATTCAGCGGCAGTTACACGGACAAGCTGAACGCGCACGTGCGGGCATTACATGGAATGGGAAATTTGGAGCAGATCGCCGATTGTGTCATCATCCATCGCTACTGCAGAGATTGGACAATGCGACTCAGACCAATTGGGCAGAAACTGTCCCATTTGACATGGTTCCGACGCTACAACAGTTCGTTTCTGGAAAAGCGATGTCAGAAGTTGGAAAATATGGAACAGGCCACCGCAGTGTACAATTCTGCATTACAGGTGGGAAAGAGTATCA